TGAAATGGACAATTTAGCAGAAGTTGCCTGTTTTTAATTTTTCCTTCCCTCCATGGGCTGTGATATTTTATGGAAGACTCATACAAAAGGGACCATGTGTGTGGGGGTGTGTGTGTGTGTGAAATTAGAACCAGATAGTTCTGACTTCATGGTGAATTTCATGTGCAGTCCAGCAAGCTTAACAAATCTCCCACTCCATCCCATTCTCATCCACTCTTTGACTATTGCTTGGGGAGTGTATAAAATCATAAATAAAATGTCAGATGTCTACCCTCGTTTATTTTGAATTATGAAAATTGTTGGAGTATAAAAATAAGATCTGTTGTTACCTAACAGAATTGCAAAGTAAGAGTTATTTTACTCAAATCCTTAAGGTCAGGAAAAACATGCATGTGGAACTTTGCATGTGGAAATAACTAAGTGATAAAACTATGTGATTACATATATAACAACAGAATACACACAGACACACACACACAGAGAAAGAGACACAAACATACACACAGAGAGAGAAATCTGTCTTTCTAGCATTTTCCCACAAGTGCGGGTCTGCTTTTTTTGGGGGGGGGATCAACCATATGTTGATCCATTGGTTACAGCAGGAACTAACCAACTGGCTTGTTGCCTGATCCTGACTTCATGTGCTAATGGAGAGTGACTGAAGTCACCCAATTGGCTTTCATGTCGAAGGCAAAACTAGAAGTCACAGACTCCTGGTTTCTAGCTCTTGCTTTGTTGTTGTATAAGTATACATATGTTGTGGGTGTTTATCTATTTACATCTATATATTTGTTTTTTGTTTGTTTCTCTCTCTTTCTCTTTTGTTCTATCTATCTATCATCTATCTGTCTGTCTGTCTGTCTGTCTGTCTCTCTCTCTCTCTCTATCTATCTATCTATCTATCTATCTATCTATCACCTTCCATCCATCCTTCCTAAAGCTGTTTAATGGGGAACACCTCCAGTTAATCATATTGAGACTTACTCTAAAAAATAAATGTAGCCAGTACATATGCACAATAGTAATCATATTGTATAGAAAATACTGGGGAAAATATTTACAGAATTCAGTTGAGACTAACTTCCGTTAAACATGCAGCAAACTAGTCCAACGCTATTTAAATAAAGTTCTCACCAAATCTTTCAAGACTAAACATTTCATTATTGCATAACTTTCATCAATCAGCCTATGAAATATAGTGAATTACTGTAAACATGCCAGGGACAGTAGCCAACTTTTTCTCTCACATCTTGCGCAACAGTATGATCTGTAGCAACATATACTCCAAAAAGCTTCCTAAAAGTATAGCAGTTTGATAGCAGAACCAAATATCCAGAGACGTAGTTGGGGCCCCTTCACTGGATGTATTCAGCAGTGAACTCCCTTTTGCTGGCTAAGAACATACAAATAACCCTGCTGAATCAGCCCAGGAGTCATCTTAATTCAATAGTTTGTTTGTTACAATATTTAAACTAGAGGTCTATGGCTATTCACAAACTGGAGAGATGTCTTATCCTGTTGCTCTTCACTGCAATTGATGTCGGGAGGCATGTACTGTCCTGACCAAGAGATAACCCTAAGTCTTGAAGATCAAAGGTTCTTGATGGACCTATCTTCCACAAACAGCTATGAGTAGCTTTTCAAGGCAACCAGGTAAATGTCAATCTCCAGACCTTGTTATGAATTCCACAGGTTAATATTTTTTGACTGCTTTAGATCTCCTTCCAGTCAGATATATTCAATTACTCAGTGAATCTACTATTTTAAGAAAAGGAGGCACCCTTTATTCTATTCATTTTCCGCAGGACTGGCGGTTTTTCCAACTGTATTATATCTTTATTTAAATATGGCAGCTAAACTTTATCCGATATTCGAGATGGAGACATATAAGGACATCACTAAGTTGGCAATGATATTTTCTACTTTACTATCCATTCCATAGCAGTTGCTGCACAAAGTTTTTATTTTCATTGAAAAATCCACTGTAAACTCAAGATCTTCTTCTTATTAATTACTAGCAATTCAGAGCCCCATCAGTGTATAGATGAAGTTTGGATTTCTTTCCCTTAATGTGCTTCACTTATTTAACTTGAACTACTTTTACCAGTTGTCTATTTACCTAAGTTAAAGAAATCGCTCTTAATTTTCACTATCTTAACTAGTTTGATATTATCAACAAACTTACTTATTATCTGTAATCAAGAAAATTTCTAAACAAACTGAAAAGCCTTAGTCCCAACAGAGATCCTTGGGGGATGTCACTCCTCACTTTTTTCCATTGAGAAAGTTGCATTTGTGTTTTATTTTTTAACCAGTTAACAATCCATAAATATCTTATTATATCTAAGTCAATGCTAAATTAGAACAAGCTACCATAGGTTTTTAGAAAATCCATGTACACAATACTAATAGTATTATCTTCACCAAATGCCTGCTGACACTCTCAAAAGCCCTCAGAAGGTTGGCAAATCCCCAGTAGAATTCATGCTGATTTTCCTTCAGTAGTTTCTCGGTTATTTTTGCTTTTGATTACTGCTTTTATCAATTTGCTCAGGAATTATATCAAGGTCATTGGCCTATATTTTCCCAGATCTTGTTTCTCTTTTAAAAAAAATAAATCACTTTTGTACAGCTATCTGTTGAAGGTGCTTTAATTTGGATACTTACACAGAGCAGGTTTGATTTGAGGGATAAAATGGTCTCTTCTATGATTCTGGCACTGCTAAAACTGTTATGAACTGGGAGTGCACTGGGAGTTCAGAAGTGGTCCCAAGAGCAGTATTAGATATATTCCTTTTATTACCTGTATTGTCTCTCCAAGCAGCATGGGCATCTGGAATAGGAAAGCAAAGGGGCAAATGATATAATATATCAGTGGTTCTCAACCTTTTTAATGCCGTGACCCCCCAACCGGTCGTAAGTCAAGGACTACCCAACCGGTCATAAGTCAAGGACTTTCCCTGCCCAGGAGCGTCGCGCATGCGTGGTGCCACCCCCTGCGCCTGCTGAGGCGTAGCTGGCAAGTGGCAGAGATGGCGCAGGCCAACCACTGGCTGGGCCACCAGCTGGCCCAGCCCAAGGGAAGTAAAGCACCCGCCGGGCCCCACGCACGCCAGCAACCCTCCCTGCGCCTGCCGGCCTCCCACCTCCCACCCCTGGCCCTCTTTTACTTACATTTTTAGCAGTTGCTCAGCAGAGAGGGGTGGAAACTTCCAGACAGCTCGCCTTCGCTACAGAGAACTTGCAGCACTGTTTGCAGAATGGGACTTTTGGTGGGCTCAGCAGGGCAGAGACAGCCTGGACAATTCCTATTGGCTTTTGAAAGCCAACAGAATTAGACTCTATTCAAGAGAGTCTATTCTGTTGGCTTTCAAAAGCCAATAGAATAAAAGGGAGTAGTACAGCTAAGGAAAAGGGGGAAAAATGGCGGACTGCGTTGTTTGGCGACCCCGTGAAATGGTCGTCTGACCCCAAATGGGGTCCCGACCCACAGGTTGAGAACCACTGTAATATATGGAGTCCTGGGTGCTCCTTGAGCTTGGTTGTTTTCTTGCAGACATTTCATTACCCAACTTGGTAACATCTTCAGCACAAATATTCTCTTCTCTTGATAAAGCGTGTGTTGTAATGCAATCTCCATCCATTTTGTGTATGTGCTGCAATACTGTATGTGTAAGTTGTGAATCTTCCATCAGGATGCAAAATTTAATAAATTTTCCTGAATCTGTGATCTGTCTTTGGCATATAGGAAGGATTGGCAGCCCAATTCTGCCACTATGTGCAGAGAAGAGGATTGTGTTCACACAACACAGTAAACAAGAAGTTCCCAGCCTGAGGGCCTGACATAACTGGGAGGCAGCCTCCAAAAATATGAATTTAAAACATGCAATGTGATAGGGAAATTATTAAATGTCTGGAGACTAATTATACAATCCTAACTGGTTTAGTTTCAATCAATTCTAAATGTAAATAAACAAAACCAATTTTAGATTTTATCCTTGCTGTACTCTTTTTGGAGTGTAGTTGTGAACAATAGTCAAAGGCTACATTTTGCTATCCCCGCCAAGACAAATCTCATGCTCATTATTTACCTAACCATGGATTATCCAAAAAAGCACATCTAAAAGTTTTATTTATTTGCTGAATCAGGAAGCAGCTATAAAATACTGAGTGGTATTTAGAGCACAAAAATGTTAAGTGCTCCTCAGTTGAAGGATTACAACATGACAACTCAATTTCTTCAAGATCCCAGTCTAAAATCAACAACTCAGGTAAACCTATCTTTTCTTCTGACCCCACCATTCAGACACCACCCTGCAAAATTATTTAATGAAATATGGATGCAATTAAAATAAGTACATGCGGAAGTGCAGCACAGTCAAATCCAAACATAAGGAAACAAGGCTGAAACAGCAAATTAGGCACAAGGAAAGTCAGTTTTCCCTCTTTACATTTACATTTTTGAACCTAGTAATATGCTTCACTAGTTCGTGATAGACAGTATGCATGTTTTATGCCAAACGGTATTTTACTGATGCATTTCCTTCAAAAACAGAGGTACCTATGTATCCACCCTAGCTGCAATTCTATACCTAGCTGCCTTACATGGAAGAGGTCCCATAAAATGCAAATGTTTATTCCTCCGTAAACCGACATAACAGGAAAAAATTTCTTGCACCAAAAACACACAGAACTCCTAAAACAAACTTGCTTCTTTTCAGGGGGCTGCAAGAGTCAACTCATTCGTGGGTGTATTTAATTTCCCGACTTCTAGAACCACTTCCTAAAGTTTCGCCTTCCACCCATCGCTCAAAAGGGACTAACCTAGGTATATACCCCCAAAGTATTGTCCTCAGACATCGCCCTGGCCGCCACCATCCCGCCCTTTATTTTGCATTGGTCGTATCCACCCTCCAATCCACCTTCCTCTTCTGCTCGGCAAGCGTCGGCGACTCAGTGGCCTCGCTTCGCCTTCCTGACGAGGACGGAGGTAGTTTGTCCCTAGCGGCACTCCTTCCCGGAAGCAGCTGTTCACACCATCATGGCGGCGGTGGTGCTGCTGCTGCGGGAAATCTCAATGACAAGGGCTGCGGCGAGACACCTGCTGCGTGGGGGAGGCAGAGGAAAAAGGAGTGAAGCTGTCCTCGGCATTGGGGCCAGGTATCTATAGAAGGGACGGGTGGTTCCTTGGGTGGGCGGATCCCCCCATCGCATCTTTTCCTGCCCATCCGTCCTTTGTCCCGCGAACATGGAAGAGGTGAGGGCGTTTAGCCGCCAGGCCGCACCGGCAGCGGAGGCCTTGGGATGCTTCGCCTCTCTGGCCCCAGGAGACCCCGGCGAAGCGGATTTTACCCCGCCTCCGCCAGCTCTGAGACTGGAGAGAGGGGTAGAGGAAGGCAGTCAGTCAAAACGAAGCGGACCCTGCGGCATCTGAGAAGAAACTAAGTGGGAAATGCTCCTGAGTAGAACTTCTCAAACGTGCGTGAAACGTTTTGCGTGTTGATCGGATTCCCTCTAACACGTGAAACAGGGAAGCTTGAAAGCCAAGCAATGGAAGCTGCAGGGTTGTGTCGTTATCAGTCCAAACAGGATGGACCTTTCACCGCAGCAGTCATTCTGATAATGTTACCTTTCCTGATTGTATAAGGAGAAAAGAATGAAAATCATACGTTTCCTTTCGTGTCTATGATAAAGGTTATGTTTCTAGAACATGGTCCAGTGTATTGATATGTATGCTTTTTAAAGCTTCCCATATTTTCAGATCCCTTTCTTTTTAGATTCCAGGGTTTTGAAAAAGTGACCACTGTCTGGAAAGTCACCTTGTAGAGGAGATAGATGGCATAAAAATTTAATAAAATTTATTTTTTCTAGTAAACAATTAAGTTTCATCTACTGAAATGATACTCTCAAAATTTCAAAACATAGAAGTGGTATAAAGAATTTTATCATGGTTATGTTTCTGAGACATCAGGCCTCTCTTTAGACAGATTTAGATTTTTGTTCAGAAAGTATAGATCTTCTTCTCAATGTAAAATTGTATATTTTTGCTAGAATATAGAATATGCTTGTCTGTTATTTATGGCTAGTGTACTGCAAAGGTTTGGGTATTTATAAATGAGTTTTTAAGTAGACAGAAGTTTTATGCTTCCATACTATGATAGACCAATGCTTTTCTTCTCTAGAACAATATTATTCATGATTTTTTCCGCCCATTCAATCTATCCAATTCTTTCTGAGACCTCTAGACAAGTTCTTGCATTTTCCCTGGCAAGGTTTTTCAGAAGTGGTTTGCCATTGACTCCTTCTTAAGGCTGAAAGAAATTGATTGGCTCAAGGTTACCCAGCTGGCTTTGTGTTTTAGTCTGATACTTTAAACATTACATCAAACTGACTCTCATGATCTTTTTATTTCAATATAAAAAGTAGGTACAATGAGCAATAAAATTTCCTCTACCCAGAGTGTAAAACTATTTTTCTTAACTTTCCCAGGTGAAAGTTATCATAAATATAAAACCATTAAAAACAATGTTGAAGAATTTATGTCAGTTTATAGCCAAATCCAATTAGCTCCAAGTATTTCATTACTGAAAATTAGTACATAACATGCGTATATCCTAGTGTTATTTGGAATGTTGTACAAACACTCTATTTGTATATGCCTGCACACAATATGATGCTTTACAAATAAATAACAAAGTGTAGCAGTTTTAAAGCACTCTGAACAGTGAAAGGACATAGCCTTTTCCAATGTGAGGTAGATTGTAGAACATTAGCTTTTAATTCCTTGCACTTCTGTAATTAAATAATTTGACTTTTGAGTTACATTGTGATAATTAAAGCACACTTAGTATGATCTGAATATATTTGTAGGGAGACATTTGACATTTCAGAAAACATGCAGGGCAAAACATAGGGTTACCTGTGGTATTCAAATAATTCTTCCACACACCCCATTCTTCTCACAGTTTCCAGCAGTCAGCCCACAATTACAGAATTTCACTAACAAAAAAAATGGTTGAATGAGCACAATAATTGTTCTCTTTAATTTGTTTACCATATGAAGACTATTAACAAAAAAAATGGTTGAATGAGCACAATAATTGTTCTCTTTAATTTGTTTACCATATGAAGACTATTCTTTCCATGTTCTGGGTATAGAAAGTTTGGAACTGATGCCACTGCCTGTTAATCCAGTTAGAAGAGCAGCTTCTTGGTTTGATATTAGCAGGTAGCTTTGTCTTAAGTACTGTATTGTTTCTTTTCATAAGTAACTATATACATAAAGGCTACTGATGATACCAGGGAAGAATTAAAAAAACCTCGTTAATTGTATCTATTCCTTTGAAAGACTTAAATTTTATGAATTGTTTGTAATATCCAATTAAATGCCTTTTAATTGTGTGTTTTCTTAATAATGTATTTAGTACTTGAGGGGTCATGAGTTCAATTACAAAAGACAGGTGAATTTTCTATACTGATTGACTTTGATATCTGAGACCATGTATGTTCTTCACCTTTGACAGCCAATGTTAATATTAGCTTTATTTTATTGTATTTATTTACATCTCATAAAAGCAGCATCTGCATATTTTTGAAGTTAATATCTTAAAAGGCAAATGTAGACAATTTTTCTGTTTATGTTTGGGATATGTGTGTGAGAGAACGAAAAAGAGAGTGTTAAGTACTTGTATTACCTAGTTTAAAGTATGACTATTTTTCAAGACCATGTTTTTAATCCAATTATCTTCAAAACACTTCACATTTTTTTTAACTCTAGAAGAGAAAAACACCTTTCAGTAGGAGGCAACATGTAGATTACTTTATTTGAGTTGAGAAACTGTCAGATTAGATTTGGTTGGTGTTTGGATGGCAGACTCCACCGGATACTATAGTTGAGAAATAAAATATCCTGGAAAAAGAAACTACTTTTGTCTTATAACAAATTTTTATGGATACATCTGTGAAATCACAAGGAATTGAGTTGTATAGCAAAGTGTTAATAGCAATAGCATTTAGATTTATATACCGCTCCATGGTGCTTTACAGCCCTCTCTAAGCGGCTTACAGAGTCAGCATATTGCCCCCAACAATCTGGGTCAGCATATTGCCCCCAACAATCTGGGTCCTCCTTTTACCAACCTCAAAGGATAGAAGGCTAAGTCAGCCTTGAGCAGGTCAGACTCGAACTGCAGAATTGCTGGTAGCCAAGAGTCAGCAGATGTAGTCTGCAGTACTGCATTCTAACCACTGCACCACCACAGCTCTTAAGACAGATGTATGAATGGGAGGGTGGCCTGAATTAATATTTTGTTTTGTTTTGCTTTTGCACATTGGAATGGAACAAGATGCCATCAGTTTAGCTAATGAGTAGAGGAATTCTTCACTTCCAAATACTTACATAGTTCATACTAGTCATATAGTAATTTGCATAGATATTATTCTCTTAATCTTTCATGTATTTGGAAAAGGAAGTTGGGTGAGTTTGATCATTTGTATAAAATGCAATATTGGTGGGTTAACTTTAAAGTGGGATATATTAATTATTCACTAACACGAATCTGTTTGATTATTCCTGCTTTTGATAAAAAATAATTCAAAAGCATTCTATGAATGATTACTATATATGATAATATACTCTCTAAAAAGTCTACATCTTTTCCAGAATACTGAAAAATATGTCTTGATGTTATACGGTTGCTAGATATGATTATTACTGTTTAAATCATTAAACTGAATCTTCCTGGTAATGATTTAAACCAAAATTTAAATATTTGATACCATAAAACACTTTTGATCTGATAGAGTTGATAATGCCTTATTGTGAAATAAAAAAAAATGGTGGAGATAGAATAGAGATATACCAGAAATTGATTTTCAGAGCAGTTATTCATGTTCTTTGAAAATATTCTATTAAAAAAAAAACTCTTCTGGTATGGATGGTTTGTGTTCCACTTCAGTAGCTTTGTGGTTTTTGCTCTTTTCAGTGTTGTGTAGGTGATGGTGATATAGGTGATGGCTTTTATCTGCTATGGCTAGAAAAGAGAATTTTGGTGTCAATTCTCCATGCTTTAGAAACGTCTAGATTAAACTACTGCAATCTAGATGGCATGGGTTTTAAAAAATTTCTGTAATTTCAGTAAGTGTAATTTGGCACTGAAAATCTGTTTGCGATTTGAGCCAGGGTTAATTTTAAGTGCTAGCAGTGTGTGTCTATATGTTTGATAGGACTTTTGGAGAGAGCCACAGAAAATACATTTTTCCTTTAAAAAAAAATAATCAAGAAATTCTTCTAATTTAAAATGGCTCCGTTTTAGCTCTCATAGACCCGATTTCAACAGTGCTAATAGAAATCTGAAAATATGATTCACTTTCTGTGATATGTTTATATGTTTTATATTATGGTCTTCTCTGAAATAATTTTTGAGGTTTTATTAAACAATTGCCTTAGTAATTTTAGTAATTTTTCATCAACTTCAGCTGAAACTGTCACCATTTTTTCAGAATTCCAGTGAGTAAGATTCCAAGCAGTAATTACTGAAAAATATAATCTTATTATTCAGATATATTAAAGCAATTTTAAATGTGTTTCTTTATTTAGAGGTTTTATATGACTGTCCAACTTGTGTGATTATGATTCTGGAGAGTGTACATCTCATTTCCTAACATGCCTTTAGGAAAACTAAATTATGGTTAAAACTAATATCAAGAACTAGATGTTGTCAACTTTTTTTTCATGTCAGCATGAAATAATAGAGTTTTGATCAGGAATAATAGTGAAGCCTTGGATGTTCAGTAAAGGTTAAACAGGTCAGAATGAAAAGGTATGTTGAATACATGCTTCCTAGAGATATCTTGCACTTTCTGGACAACTGCTGTGCTCTGCAAATATTTCTTATCTCAACACCTACCTTAGTACAAATCACAGAATCCAGTCATTATAAAGTTGATTACAACCAATGCCTTAACACCTGCTACCTTGTTCTGCTACATTTCCCATTTACTGAAAATATCTGTCAGAAATGTTTTTCTTTCTTCATTCCAATGCTTTTCATATATATAGGTACAGGAAACTACGCAGGGCAATCTTGATTATTACTTAGAGGAGGTATTCTGAGGTAACCTGAAGGTTGTAGGCTAGACTGGGAAGTTTTTTTAAAAAAAATCCCCATAAAAAGGCAAATCACTTCCATATCCTTACCAAGAAAACTGCATCGATATCTCCATGTAACTCACAAGTAGTCCAGTTTGAGGAGGGAGTTTTATTATCACACAGAGCCTCACAGAATGTCACTAACTGCCAAGGGATTCTTATAGTACTAGCTTTGGTTGGATTTCCACTGGATAATAAGATCAGGTTACGTTGGTTTTTTTTTATTGCTCTCAGTTGGGCAAGATTTCCTTTGCAGTGGAAAGAGCCAATCTCATACAGATAAACTGTTTAATATACAAATTTCAGTTATTTATTTATTTATTTAATTTTAAAGACTTATATGAGTGAGTGACTGCAGGCAGTTGGCAACAATTTAAATAAATAACAATAACCATCATGCTGCCATGCTGCCAAGGTCTGACTCAGAACACCCGTAAAACATGCAAATTATTATTTAAACCAAGACACTTAAGTGTTTGTGAAGGACAACTCCGCGGAGAGTGCATTACAGCAATCCAATTGGAAAGTCCCTAGGGCACGGGTGTCAAACTCGATCACACCATGTTGTCAACGCTGCTAATATTGAATATTCTTGCTTTGACAATATATGCAGAACTGTCTGGTATTTTTAGAGTTAAATCAGGTGACAGTGAAAGGGGAGGAGAATATAAGAAAAGCCCGGGAAAAAGAAACGGAAGTGAATCTTTGCCCTCCAAGTGAATTGGAAGATGTGAATCATGACCCCAAAATAGGGGAGGGGAAATGCCTGGAATGTTATGTGCAAAGGAAGGGAAATTCAGATCTTAGTATGATGTCATGTGTCTGATTAACGAAACACTTCAAAGAACTTTCAGGCATTTTTTTAACCTAAAAAGCCTTTATTAGTATTACAGAGTGTCAGCACAGCGTGGTGGAAATGCTAAGATCTGAATTTCCCTTCCTTTGCACATAACATACCAGACAGTTCTGCATATATTGTCAAAGCGAGAATATTCAGTATTAGCAGCGTTGATACATGTAATGTATCGTGATCTATTGCGACATTTTTTGCCTTTGCGGAACCAGGGTGGGTATGGCCTGTGCATTACAGCAATCCAATTGGAAAACCCCTAGGGCACGGGTGTCAAACTTGATCGCATCATGTGATGTATCATGATCTATTGCAACATTTTTTGCCTTTGCGGAACCAGGGTGGGTGTGGCCTGTACGTGACGCATCTGGCCCATGGGCCGCCAGTTTGACACCCCTGCCCTAGGGTGTGAATAATTGTGGGCAGGACCTCCCAGTCCACAAATGGGGCAATTTGCACACAAAATAAATTGCTTCCTTGTGCAAACTCCCTTCCCCCAACTTTGGTTGCCACCTCTTCTTCAAGTAAAAGCCAGGAGGATTTTCAAATCCAGCTCTCTGCAGAGTGCTATCCCATCAAATGTTGAAATGAAAAATCCCCAGATTCAGGGGACCTGAAGACTACTCCCACCTGCTAGGGTTGAGTCACAGTCTGCTTGTCCCTTTTTAGGTCCTGAAAGCCCCCAGACACTGGATTAAACATCTCAACAGAGTTCCTTGGATAAAAATGTACAGCTGAGTGTCTGATAATAATTTTGATGATGTCTTTTCCTGTGCCAATAAATGACCTTGCCTACTGGTAGATGTTAAATTGGGATGGAGAGAGAATTGCAATGGAACAGGGCAATGACTTTGGGAGACAAGTGATGGAATTTAGTCTGCAGAAGGTACCCTCCCTTCTATAAAGGCAACTGGGTAATGGTGTTTTGGATAAAAAAATGAAACATTTTCAAGGAAAAAATGAAGAAAGTCCAGTTACCTTTTGAAAAACACCTTTGGGACAACCATGACCAGGTTGATTGAGAATCTCCGTAAACAATCATCCGCAAATGTGGCCAGTGCTGTTATGGTACTATGACCCGGCCTAAACCCTGGCTGAACTAGATAACCTATTCCTCCAGGGCCTGTTGAACTGAGCATCTACCACCTCTCATTTAAAAAAGGAAGTTGTTAAGAGATTGAGTGACAGTTATCAAACACAGTTGGTTTCTTAAGGAGGGGTGGACCACTGCCTACTTCAAGACAAGTGGAGCCACCTCCTCTCATAATGAGGTATTAACTGCCATTTGAAACCAACTGCATGCCATTGTTCATGAGTCCTTGATCAGGAGGGACATGGATCCAGAACTCAGGTGGCAGAGATCATAATATCAAGGACTCTGTCCATTTCTTCAGGAGTAACAAGCTGGAACTTGTCCCAGATAATGGAACAAAATCATACATCAGTCAGAACCAGCCAGAGTTCAACTCAGAGTGAATCTGAGTAATTTAACACAGTGATCCAGTAAGAAGTCCCTAGGCTTCCTTGTATCCAAAAGGGATCTGATCATCTGAAGTAAGGAGACAGACAGCTACCTTCAGGTTCATAAGAACAGAGAAGTAAGTTCATTTCACTACTTTTATTACCAAAAATTATTCCTAATGTAGACATTTATCTGTGCCCAGTAGGATTCGTTCTTCATCTTGCTTCAGTACTGCTTCAGTCACCAATCCTCAACTGGAAATCATATGGCCTCTTTGGAGCCCTAGGACATTTGAAAAAGGCCACAGGTGAAAAACATGTAACAAGAGGTCAGGACATGTATCAAGAGTGCCATAGGGAGGTAAATGCTGCCTTACAGACATCAGAAAACATATCAGTTACCACCTTATGTCCATATCTAGTGATAGGTCCTGGACACGGGGACACAGGAGAAAAACAAGGATGGAAGGGGTTCACAGGTGGAAAAAGGTTGAGAAACACTGTTCTTGACATCTCTTGCGTCCAGAGTACATTACAGGATTCATGGTCACCTAGGTGTGATCCAATTTAAGGCTGTTATTATTTGCTCATTCCAAGCTACAATTATGACTTCAGCTGAACTGTGCACCAGTGCTTTATATTTGTATGTCTCTATTTTTTCATTGCACAAATCATTTTTCACTTTAAATCTTGCAATGCAGGCCTTTGAAGACTTCCACGTGGCCGCTGGCACAGGACCAAACCCAAGATACACAACTTATCACAGTTGATCAAAAATTGGTAAGGCTTTTATGATGTATATACTCCCTTGAAGATGTTTCTGTGTATCAGGTACTACGAATTGTATACTGTAGTTGAGAAACAATGTAAGTGCAATTGCCAGATATCAAAGTTCTTTAAGTAAAATACATACTATGGTAACTTATCAAAAGGCATCCAAAGTAAAAAAAAAAAAAAAAAAAAGGTCATAGAGATTCATAGAAGCTTAATTTATGAATTCCATATATTTAATCATGTATTATGAAATTATGTATTATGACTACTATGGTACCTGAGTATTCATTATTCTGGGAATTATGGGAAGCACAATAAATACCAAAAAGATGAGTACCAAACAATTTTTTCCCATAAGAAATAATGTATTAGTCATACGGCAACTAACACTGACAAATTCTAGTTTGCTTGTTGAGTATCAAACAAATGAGTATCGGGACAAAATTTTCATGTCAAAATGTGTCGAATACCAAATTTGATGAGTTTCAAAACAGTCAATTACCGACATACCACTATACCTACATTATGTTTAGGAAGCAATGTTTTAATATGCAATGTGCCATTTTGAAATACTTTTCTGAATGAAGTAATGAAGTCATACATGATTCAATAATACTTATTAAAATTGTTAGATTGACCCTCTTTTTTAAAAAATGTAATAAAAATGCACCTTATAAATTGTAAAATCTGCTCATATATTCTGTCCAAAATGTGCATGAAGGATCACAATTAGAAACAACTGTATAGCATTCTTTTGCTAATCATTACCAGTTCTTAATTTTGGCAGTTTTTAAATTACAGTATATTACAATGTGTGGCCTATTACCAAAACAGTGATGCTGTAATATTTATGCTTATATTATTCATTAATCAGATTTTTTTTGTAAAGCGTTCAAGGGACTTAATATATCATGGCTTACATAATAATCTCCATTGACATTATTGTATTTTATTTTTGGAGGTGAAAAGCAATAACAAATCTCTTATCAAATCAAATACAAAACACACTTAGAATTGATCTGTATAAAGTCACTTTTCTTAAAAAATGAGTTTTAAAAGCTTATAATAATAATGTATTGCTGGAGCTCTCAGCAGGGATGAGTTTGTCACTATAGACTGCTATCTTGACACAATGCAAGCTCAGTTCATAGTCATCACCATCATTTTTATTGGTGGTGGTGATGATTTGCAACTGCTGTTCCATAAATTTAAAGTTTAAAGCAGAAGAAAGTGTTCTATTTTTTCATCTTATTCGCTGGATTGGGATGCAAAAAAGCAAGAAAATATGTAACATTAAGGGAAGTTTGATTTATTGTTGTTTGAATGTATCGCTGTTATAACTGATGTATTCTAGAGAAATTTTCACTATTCTTTTTTTTGGTCATTAAATAAAAAATGGTGACAGTTTAATTGAGTATATGACATTTCTCTTTAATAACATATACTTCAGTTGCATTTGGTTTGTTTTTTTCAAATATTTTATCAACTTTTCAAGTTGAAGCCAATGTATTGTGTAACTTTAATTGAATTATTTACTAGCTGTAACTACTATTTTTCCTATTTTCCTCTGTATATTAGTAATTCTTAGAATTAGTAAATGAGGCAACATTTTTGTAATAACTGCTAGATTAGGAATGAGAATGTGGGACTGACTCCATTTTATATGATATTTTCTGTTGGATGTTTTCATTTAACTTAAATGAACAGAATTCTATATCTAGTAGAAAATTATTTTGCTATCAAATTTTGTATATCTTTTAAGTTGAAACTGAAAACGCTTCTTGGATGACAAGCAAAACATTTTTAAGGGAAAAAAACCAAGAAAGTCCAGTTGCCTTTTGTAAAAGCACTTTTGGGACAACCATGACCACCTGAATGATTGAGAATCTCCATAGACATTTTAAGCTGGAGCACTTTAAAAAGCACTCTAATAATTTGCTAATCCACAGATTGCATCTCTCACTCTCACTCTCACTCTCAGTGTGTGTGTGTGTGTGTATGTCTAGGAAGGTAAAGTGGAAGAGTTCTAAAATATACTGTAGTTCCATCCTACATAGCATTTCCTACTACTTAACAGCAAGCTACGTCTAAACCATCAGTTGGAATTCCAGAGATCTGGAGTGTGGCCTAAAGAGCTAAAAGTTATTTGATCTTAACTGATTTTAGAGTTAGAGATGATTCCTGTAGGGTTTCTCTGTTGCTGAAATGAGATTTCAGTGGTGCTCTCCCTCAGTGAAGCTTAAAATGATTTACTGATTCACATATGAAACAAAAGTAATTCCAATGCTATTGTATAAATTATGTTTCTCCTTGTGTGTTATATATGGTTTTCCTTCAACCATTTCTGCCCTCAACCATTTTTGGCCTGAGTCGCCATGTCATTATGTTAATCTAGCTCAAATTTTGAATTTATTGGTAGCATTATTTCATTATTTTTTCATTTAAAACCAGAAACATATAGAATTAGCTGTCTTTATTCAGCTTGGTGCTAAAATAACACATTAATAGTAGATACTATAAGATTATTATTAATATTAGTGTCTAATTGTTAATGGAAAGCTTGCATCCAAAATGATTGTAAATTATTATATCGGATCAATCCTCCTAGAATACTGAAAGTGGAATTCCTAATATGCTAGTTGCCCTAATAGTCTACTTTTCCATAAAGAAAAAAGAGGGGAAATATCTTCTAAAATTATGGACTTCAGTCAGAAAATATTCTGATGTAGATTTGACCAATTAATCACAACAATGTGTGCCTTTATGTATAAAAGGAAGGGCATTATAATACTTCATAATAGATAACTAGCACTTTTATACCATCTGTGTAATCTAGTCTCAGTCCAGTCTAGGCTACCTTTGCTAAACGAACTCAGCTCAAGTTAACTTAGAGGTTGACTTTAAGTTCAGTTCAGGTTTTATTCATAGAATGGAGAAGACAGATTTTATTCTCTTCTAATCAATGGTTTGTCCATCCATTAGTGATAGTGAGGACCAGCAATGCAAGACTATTTTTCATGGTCTCTCTTTCTGTGGGGGTCCTGAAAGCATTTCTCAGATCCTTGTTTGCTTCTTTGATCTGCTTGACCTCAGCCTGCAGATGAATGAATACTGTCAGTTGAAATATTTGTCTTTATCTTGGGTTGGTTATGCTTAGAGGCCCCAAAAGAAGGTTCATCATGACTTTTGTTTGGGGAATTTTTGTAGACTTCAGTAAATGTTCTGGAATAAGATGTGTTCATTATTTTAAGTTTAGTGGTTGTGGATTTCCTGGTAAAAATTTAAACTGATAATCTCATCAAAGGCAAAGATAACATAAATTAAATTAACATAAATTAAGCTTATAAAATGAAAAGAACAAGTAAATTGGAATGGGCTTTTATGACTTAGGATTTTGGGCTTTATTTTCTTCTGGGATTCAAAATCAACATATTCAAAAACAGTCTTCTTCTTGAATTCTACATTATGGCTTTTGCATATGGCTTTTATTAGAGAATTTTAGAAATCTTGTAAAACAAATGAATGCTCCACCTCTCCATCACCAGGATGGGACAAGTAAAAACTGTTAATGAAATTCTTGGAGTCATTTTATTCCTTAAATAGCCTTGGAAATAATACAGTAAGCAAATTCATTTGTGCTGTGCCATCAGATATGTTGAGGCGAAGTAGCAGAATTACAGAAATGTAGACACATGGATAGGAAACAAATAGATTGCATTTGTTGATACCTAACAGTCTACATACAGAACAGGCCGCAGACTTTTGTACTATTACTTCCAGTGGTGAAAGCTTAGTCACTCATATTACTGAGGATTTATCTCAAATGGACAGTCCAGTTCAATCCAACTATATATACTGTAATGCTATTTGGTTGTAATGCTATTTGCTCACTGCTCATCCCTATGCTGAATAACACTACTCAAGAATACCCCGTGTAACCAAGAATAATGTTGTTCTTTAATTTGTGTTTTGAAGAGTTCTGTTTGTTTTCTCTTTTTAGCTACTGAAGATTTGCTTTACTGTTGTATGTCCATCCAGATATATTTTTGTAGCTAGTACCAGTTCAAAGCATAGTTGAGGACAGCTGTACCTTGGACACAGGCAGTGGAAGGATTATAATAACCTTATGACCAAAGCTTTGTATTTAAATTGAAGGTTGTGTCATTGACAAAAGGGTCTTTTCTTCTTTGCCTCTGACAAAGATTTACTGAAATAAAATATAGAAAAAAATATAGTCTTTGTTAAGTCAGTTGGCAAATGACACAGTGCAACTTTGGTTATATGTATACTGTATTTTCAAATGACTTTTAAATTATTTTTATTTCTGCTGTTTTATTTCAAAATAATTCTTGTATTTTCATAAAAAGTTGAATCAAGTCTTGCTATTCTGGTCAGTGTGATCTTTCTTTCCATTTTTTCTAATGTATTTCAATCTAATATAAATACATAAATGTGCATATGCGCATGCGTGCACATACACACACACACACACACACACACACATAATAGGAGATTTCTGAATGTCTTCTGAATGGGTTGAATCTGAGCAGTATAATTAAGAATTGTGGCTGTCTCCCAATGAAAATTAGTTGTCAACAGTAAACCTGATAGTAGATCTGTATCAACAAAATGAGCATCAGAAGTTCCTGGATTCTTATGTACTTACATATTTTTTTACAACATTTATCTGTGCCTAATTTAATCTTGAATAATCCAAAATACCTCCTCGTTTCATGACAGCCAGAAACAGAATCTGTAAATCCGGTTACAAAACAAAGAAATATCAGCATTAAATTATTTGAAGTAGAACAATCTAGAATGGAAGTGGTTTGAGAAACATTAGTTATAAATACATTTCAAAGATGTAGTCAAATAGCTGGAATTAACAATAATAAATCCTTATTCTTGACAATTTCTCTATCTCAATTCTTGGAATATTTGTAAATGTTTGTTATATTTGTGAGCCTGTCTAGCTTTTAATCTTCAAAAACTATTGACTACCTTTG